CAGGCATATTTAATCCCTCTATGCTATCTTGTTTTGGAATCGCTCTAAGTGGCCAGGCAACTGTAGCAAGCCCAGTGTTTTTTGCAAATATCTTCTTAGCTAGCTGTACTCTGCCTGGGTGTCTTGGCTGCCCGAGAGGAGGAAGTTTGGCCCTTCGCAGTAGAGTATCCATTTTCTTTATTAGGCATAGAATCTGTTTACACCTAGTGTGCTTTAGGGGGTGACTTGTTGAGGCGTGTGCCAGTAAACCTCACATTTGGCCCTGTGGAGTGCCCCTGAAATTCATAGTGGTGGAACCAGGCTGAGTGTGGAGAATGGGAGGCATCAAATCAATGTTATTAATTCAGGTAAGAATCTCTTCACCTCATTAAAATCTGAAACGTTTCAGAATAGCATTGTACTTTTAATAGAATCAGTCAAGTTATAGTAAGGTTTTATTCTGCCTTTTTGAGTAGTTCTTACTGTTCTACCTCTGACATACTAAACTGTTGGCGTTTGTATAAGCTGTTAAACATCTGCGTCTTTCATTTCAGAGCTGGCTGCATTTCAGTACTGGATGAATGATCCCTATATCACAGCTAATAAGTGTTTTGGGATCCCAAGTATATGCTCTTTGGACAGTACCACAAATGTATGCAATTCTATGAAATATATCAGTGAGTACTATTCTCAAGAGGCTGCAGCCTAAGAGATCCCATAGGACAAAGGACACAGAGAAAAGTAATTGATAGTAATGAACTTGTTTGTGCATGTGTCACCACTTGTCTCTGCTGAATAAAATCAGAAGTGTTCAACACTTCATTAACATAAATTACAGGGTTCTATTCTTCTGAAGTGAGACAATAAGGCCTACACCTGCTAGTACTGTGAAGTTCTTTGTGATCCCAGCATGCAGCTCACTGACTGACATCATAGACTCAAGTGGTCTTGGATTTGTCCCAGTATCATGAATGTTCATAAATAGAACTAGTCTCATCTGTCACAGTTCCACTGGAATCAGTGGAAAGATACCATGGTAAGACAAACGATGTTAAGTAAATATACAGAATGGGATCACAACACTATTACAGTAAATGCTAACTCTGTTTTAAACTTACCTGAGGCAGGACTTTAACTTAATCAGCCATAAATAGTGTACAAGATGCCTATTTCCTGTGTGAGTACAGACTACAGAGATGATTCTTGGTTCTTGGGACTGGTCTCATTACTGAGACTAGTTTTACCAGAGCAATTTTTTTTTTTTTTTTGCAGCTTTTGCACTGCTTCCTGAAGAAGACAAAGAATCTGCACACTTTTGCACCAACAGTGGTTCCCAATAGTTTGACACGTTTGTTCAAGTCATGGTGATGTGAGTTGATAGGGCCAGTGTGTACCACAAATCTGTACTTCCTCTGTTTTCCAGGTAGAAAGGAAAGGGTGCTCTCATGACATTTTCCATTATTACTAAACTTCATAAAAAAATATGAGAACAAAAATTACCTCAGTTGTTTCTGTTAGAGGTGCTGTAGTGATCTGATCTAATGTTAGCTTTGTTATTACTGATCACTGCCATCCTCCTTTCCCTTTCACCCCACCCAAGTGGCTGGGGCTGCACCAGAGAAAGGCAGAAGTCTGCTGATTCCTCTTGCAACCCAGCTAAGGTGCAGCCCTTTACAAAGAGACAGTAAATTGAAATGAATTGAAGTAAATCTTTGTCATAGGATAAAGCAAACCCCATCTTTTCTGAAGGGGCAGGCCTTTCTGTGGTTGAAATGCTCTGAGCTGTAGAAAGTTGGAAAACTTCCATCTGCATGGCAGCATGTCCCACAGTCACAGGTTGGTTGATGGCCATGAATTCTACATGCTCCTTGTTTCATTGGGGAATGCTGCACTTCCTCAGTCTGTGTGGTAGGTCGGAGACCCTCAAAGTGGGAGGAGGGTAGTGCCGATGGAAGGTGAGAAGTGATGTATTTAAATGGTCGTTTTAAAAACAAATCAGAAGAGCATGAAGAGATTTTGAGAGAATGCCTCAGATGACAGGGACCAAAGGAGAGTCAAATAATCTCCCCAGCTATGGTTCTGTTGTCAGTATTTGCAATTTCTATTCTTTAGGCTTTCTTCCAACTGGGGAGGCAGCAGCCCTGTACGAGCATGTCATCAGAGGTTTCTGCTTAAGCGTTTCTTTTGTAGATATATGCAACTACACTTTCAATTGTGCTCCAAAGCTGAGCAGGACCCTGTACTGCAAAGATATTATGGGGTTCCCTGGGAGGACTGGCATGGCAATTCCAATTGCATGCCATTTCCCTACTTGTTGTAGGGTCTTTTGTGGGGGCTGACTGGCTATGTGCCATTTTTTGTGTTACCAAAGAAAGCAGTGCTTTCTCATGTGTGTTTTAAAATAAAAATTTCACCATTTGAAAGCAGCATTTGCTAGCAGATACCACATGGGGGGGTGTCTGCAATACAGGAAACTCCCTTTGTATTTATTGTAGGAAAGCAGTACCTCTAAATGACTTTGGCTGCCAAGTAGGTAAATACTGCAAAAGTGTCACAGAAATGCAAACTAGCTTTTATGATGCAATTAGTGTACTTATAAATCATGTTGTGTGAAGGCATCCCCCCCCCCCCCAAAAAAAAAAAAAAAAAGCTAAGTATAAAACCAGTCAGGTTCAGAGATGCCTGCTCTTAGAGACATCTGCATTAAGCATATAGGTAAATGGAAATCCCTTGCTGGCTGCCTGGTTAATTGGCATTGAAATAGTAGGAAGATGCTCATGTAGCTCTTAACACTTAATTGTTCCCTTTTTTAACAACTTCATGACCTGTTTAATTCACACACAGTTAAATAAGTATTAGTTAAAGCAGTTTATCAGTTACAGCCCACTGCCTCTTCTCTTACTTGCTTAATGTGCTTCCTCACCCTTGGTTTGCTTTCTCTTTTTGCCCTTTCTCTCTGGTTATCCTATTTATCCTCCGAGCACACTTTGGTTTGTTCCTGGAGCTCTGGCCCTGCTGGTGCTGCCTGCTGTTCCCTGGGTCCTGGGACAGCCTGGCTGTGGTGGTGCTGTCTGAGAATGCATGTGGGTCTGGAGCCTTGTACTTGTTTGGAGCAGGCTCTAGAGCAGCTGCTGGGTTATCAGTAATAATTGGGGTATCTTACACTGTTCCTTCTTTCATCTTTTACTTCAGAAACTTGTGATCATCTCTGATTGCAACTCTGATTTTTCCCGAAAACACCTTGGTTCTAGTCCTTCAGTGGACTTGTTTCTTTGACATGTTTGTATTTTTGCAGTGGTGGTAAAGGTCTACTCCTTTTTGTTCTCATCTTATTTTGCCTTCCATCCTTAGTGCATGTGCTGCTGTCTGATGCTTGGTTTTGTTTTTTCTGTCTAAAAAATTATTTTCAAGCAGCTGTTCAATGGTAGGTTTTTGTCTGAGTTCATGTGCCATGACACCAGATCCTAGATACTGTTATGAGTTGAAAAAGGAGAGGCAACAAAAACCGCTCACCAGATTTGGCATATATATTTAGTACAAGCTATGGAAGTTAAATGAGGTGGTGTAGCAGTCCCTGCTCTGTTTGTGCATTGTTTTATTTGGGTTATTACTTCCTTAGCAAAGGATGGTTTGGTATGTGTGGTGTGCCTCAGGGACTTTACCTCAAATGAATCTGGAATAATGTGATAAAGTGATAAACAAAAAGCAACGTGTGCAGGAATCAATCACTCACCTTCAAAATGTGTCTTGGGACAAGTGGAAGTGGTTTCATAGGAATATTGTAGGTTTGGACAGGAGGATACTGACAGAAGTTGGAGGGGATATTCAGGGAAGGAGAATACATTCTTAGACCTTGGTGTGTAGCCAAAGCACCTGGCATGTCATGCTCCTGGACTTCTGGCAGAAATGTTCTTGGATCTGTAGGAACCTGAGGGGTTAATGTAGTGCTTTGAAGCCTTTCCTGAAGGATGGTGCCTGCAACAGTGCAGCTCCTGGGGCAAGGTTCAGGCCTCCAAGGAGGAATGCTATGGAGGGACTTGGCCCCACTGTTTCTGCAAGCAAATTCATGTTTTTCTTTGGAGGACTGCCTTAGAAGGAAGGTTTCTGGCATTTCAGAGGCTCTTCCCTTATGGGATTGTAAGTGTGGCTATTCAGAGCGAGACATAACATGGGATGCTAAAAAAGATGTAAGAGGCTTTTTTTTAAAAGCACATTCTCTGGGTTTGCTGGGCTCTGCAAACAAAAAAACCAAAAGCGTTCTACATTCAAAGATGCACCTTTCTGTGATCATTATCCTTACTTACATAGCCTTGCTCATGCGTATTTTGAAAGACTAATTTATTCTGGGATTTATGTGATTGAGTCCAAAAAGTGGTCCTATTTAACAAAGGAGAAAGTATTGAATGCCACTTGGTCTGAATTCCACATCCTGTGGAAAGACAACATGGGATGTGCCAACCCATGATGCTCCTCCCCCCCCACTACTATTGTCTGCAATGAAGGATGGGATTTCTTGAGAATGATGGGCAGGAGGAATGAAAACGAATGGGTTCTCTTCTGGACTTTGGGACTGAGTGTCTTGCACCTGGTCATAAATTCACGTGGCCCCTCATAAAAGGGGAGCAGGTTACTTTCTATTTGTTCTGAAAAAAAACTTGCTTGAATTTATGTGCACTGGAAACCTACTGCAGGCAGGTAGGTTTTGTTTCTTCCTTTTGCATTTGTGTGTGAAAACTGGAATATTTTAACCAGTGTTCTTACAGGATCTCTCTCCGCACAGGTATGATGGTGGATTCACTTCTACATGCACAGTGGAGAGGGAGTCAAAACCTTCTCCCTTGCATGGCTGAGTGCTTGGCTGCAGATGGGTGGCCTTCTAACAGACCTAATTACTTCTGGTTTTGCATGAAATTGATTTCCATGCAAGGATGCTGAGTTGCTGTGTGACTCTCTAATGGCTTTTCTCTCTTCTCTCTCTTCTCCTTTTCTCCCTTCTGCTTGCCATGAAAATACTTCAACAGATGTCAATCACATTCCAGGTAAGTATTACCTTCAGCAATCTGAAGGGCTGCTCTTTGCAGAGTTGGCTGTGGGCAGCTACAAAGGGCAGAAACCTCATCTGGCCTCCTGGGAGCGTTCAGCACAAATCTCCATCCTGGATTTCACAAGGTCTGGATTGCAAAGTCTATGATGAAAGGAAGACTTTTTGACTTTCACTGCTATAAAACATTCTTCTTCTGAAATTAAGCTGTGTTGGTCAGTTAAAGGGATGTTTTCTGAATGAAAATGGCATTTAAAAAGTTGGTTGTATTGCTAATAAGATGGCATTAAACACTGCATTATATATACAGTTTTTCTTATATGTATATGTGCAGGAATACAAATCTAGCTCATCTTCCTGCTCCTAGCATAGTTTGCTCTGTTTGCTAGTCCTGCTGAAAACCACCTGGTGTTCATTTCCCCTAACAAAGGGTTTTATTGTTCTTATTTTAGGTTTAAAAAAAAAAAAGTGAGGATGTTTCTGGCCAAATGTAAATGTATGATTTTACTTAGGTCTTAAGGCTTTTGTTCCCTACAGTGTGCTAATAATTCATTTAAAAGAATTGTGTTGCTTACTTGGGGAATTCTTCCCATAGGAAGCATTTTACCACAGAGAACTCCAAGCCTCCCTCTCTATATTGCTTTCTCATTGTTGCATGGATCCAGTTCCTCCAGCTTTAGCTACAGGAGTTAATTGAACTAGAGTACCTTACTCTGCTGGCCACTGAAGCTTAGGAAACTCTTTTTTTTTTTTTTTTTTTTCTTCCCCCTCATGCTCAGGCAGCACCACCTGGTTTATCATTGTGTGAAATGGAAATGAGAGCCAAGCAGCAGTGTTTCTAGGGTTGTGGTGGGATGATGAGAGAACTGAAGCTTTTTCTTTTTCACTTTATGCATAATATTTGCTAAACCCAACTTGAGGCTGGAATGATTTTTCCTTTCAGTTTGCTTCTTTTCTACCAATAGACAATTAGGTTTTGTGGAGCTTTTCAGAAAGGTGCAGTGAAGGCCAGCAGCTTGAGTAATTTCAGTATATTTTTTTAACCCTTGGGACTGCTGTCACTTGTCACCTTGTTGTACCAAGATCCCTTGCAGTCTGTGTGCATTTTAAGTAACAGTAATAGGAATAAAAGTGGCCAAATGGCAAATGTTGCTTGGCATGCCTTAGAAAAAAAGGCTCTGTACACCATAACCTGCAGGGCTGAACATGCACCTTCCCTGCTCCAGTCCAAGGTGTGCAGGGACTCCTGTCACCCTCGGGATCTGAGGATCTTGCAGAACAAGCACCATAGGCTCAGTGCCACAGGTCTTCCCCACCACAGCCTGAAGCTGTTGGTGTCTGTGGCAGTGGAGAGTGCTTGAACTGGGAAGGTACGGTGTTGCTATGCTCTACCAATACACAGCTCTCTTATTTGTGATATGCTACGAGCAAGTGTTGTCTTGCACAACAGCAGGGCCATCTCCAAGGTGTGCAGAGGAGAACTGCATCACTGATAGGAGCCCAGGCAGAGAGAGGCAGCACAACAAAGCTGGGACCATGCTGTGGGTCCCACGTAGTGGTGCATCTTTCTGTTCTGCAGATGGGTGGTTCTGCCTCACTTCCCCCTTATCCTTTTCATTTGTATTTTTGGATGTACTATTTTTATTCTCCTAATCACCGATACATGTGTTCATTCTCACTGCTTGTGTACTTTCTCACATGGCTTTGTAGTCACACTTGGATGCTCTCTTCCATGTACTGTCAGAGTCATCTGTGCGTGTTCTCATTCCGACAGCTTCCCACCTCTAATTATAAGGCTCTGTAGCTGCTTGCTCCTAGACTTCATATCCACCTGCTCAGATTCTCTTGGGAAGAGCACAGCTGCTGCTGCATGCCTGGGCTGCCCCCATGGGTTTTGCTGTGGACCTTCCCTCTACTGAGCTGTATGGAGCTTTTAGTTCTTCCCTTTCATCCAGCTACCCAGGTTGTGAGGATGGAGCCCCAGAGTCCTGCCAGAATGGTTTCTTTAACCATTCACAGTTTGCAATATAAATTAAGGATTTTATGATCTACTGGTAGCTGTTTACCCGCAGGCAGCAGAACAGCTGTAAAGGGACCACTGATTAACTGAATGAATATTCTTGTCAATTGGACTGGTCAGAGCTAATCCTTCAGTAGAAGATGGTTGTGAATTGGCTAGGACTGGCTGCAGTGGGGACCACAGCACAGGGCTCTGCTGGTTCCTGCAAGGTGGTCTTGTTCAAAGTAAACAGAGATGTAGTAGGGATGAACTGAATGGACACAACCCTAGGAATGATTTAGTTAGGGTCCTGAGGAGAAATTAGTCATTGTTTGCCTGAGCAAGACTTCAGTAAGGATGCTCATGCTTGTCAAGGGCCTCTGCATACTAGCAGTTTTTTCATCTGGTTTTTAATCTTTCAAGCTCTGTTTAAGTGGTACCCATATGCTGAGTTTTGCTTCCTTGAATGTGAATTCTGCTTCTTGGGCATGAATACACGTGAATTGTGTGGCAGACTATTTGAGGTTTCCTATTTGCAGAAGGTATTAGATACCAAACAGCAGAAACCACCTGTGCCATGCCTTCAATGGCACTTGCACAGGTGGTCAAAAGCTCTTTGTAACAGCACATATTCTTTACAGATGCTACCACTGTTCTTGTTTTGAATGTCCTTTACAGATGCACTGTCCACAAACAGGATTCTCTTGCTCTGAAATGTTAATGTTTTTCAGCTCTATGCCCATCCGTTTGTGAGAAAATAGCATTAGTGATGACTGTGTTTAGAACAAAAATTCCAGGTCCAGAAGCCTCTTTTTTTGAAAGCAGATGCTGTGGAACAAATTTAAGAAACAAAGCTAGCATTGCTCTTTTTCTGGTATACCTTCATAGTTTCTGGTGGTCACTGCCCTAAGGACTTCCTGACCTGACAATGTTGCATCTGAATCATGGTGTATTTACAGTCATCTAATGACCTGTTTTCTTTGGACACTTTGAGGCTTTTGTTCTTTACCTGCTTATAAATATTTTTCCTCTACAGTAGCCTGTTGTTTAGTTAGGCAACTGTGGAAAGTAGTTCCTTTTGTTGTTACAGCCGTTAGTTGAGAATTTCATTCAGTGACTCCTTCTCCTTGTTTACTGGCTAATAGGGGAAAAAATGCTGTGTTCACCTGTTCTGTGTTATTTGGGAATTAATCTCTATATATTGTCAGGTATTTCATTTCTAAGCTGAGGAATCCTAATCTGTGCTTGATAGTACTGCCTTTCCTACTTGTATGCCAATTTGGTCAGGTGCTCTGATTTACACTGATTTACATCTTATCTGCTGTCCAGAAAATGCATTCACCCTCAGCTCTTGCTTCCTGCATACGTTCTCTTCTGCATGTGGTCATCTTTGCTAATACTTGCATCTGTATTTTAATGCTTTCAAACACCAACCTCTTCCTAACCCTCTTCATGTGATTTGATGTCTACTTCTGCCCATGGATCACGGGATAAACGACTTTCTCTTCAGCTCCCATTTCATGCTATTTCTCTCTTGATCACTCAGACTTGATGTCACTCATGCTGACTTACTGCTCCTGATAATGACAAAACCTATTCTGGAATTATATAGCAAGGGAAGCAAAGGGGATGGAAAAGTGGAGCTACAACAGCTGCTATGTGTAATTGGATTGGAAGTGGGCCTCTAGCTACAATAACAGAACTGTGCTCCCAGCTGGCTCCTTGCAGGCCCCTTGGCTGCTTAGCACCTCATAGATGAATCAAACAAAAATGACTGCTCCCCAGCCTGTGCTGCTGCTTGCTTGGTTATATGAAATGGGTGTTGTACATGCCAGCAGCCAGCAAATCAGGTCAACCTCTTGGCAGAGCTGACCTGTCTAGCAGGTACAAGATTTGAACTAGATCTCAGAATGATTTTTTTTTCTTTAGCTATTTTTTCACATCACTCCATACAAGGCTTTTGCTCCTTATCCTGAGTCCCATCCTTTGGCCTTGCTGGGAATGCACAGGTTTTGTTATGTGGGCTCTCTTAGGGTGCTTTCTTGCTGTTTGATATTTAGGAAACCTTGAGATGCTTATTTTATGCTAAATACCTGAGGGAAGAAACTCTCCTTTCCAACTAAAAGAGGGAATGGCTGAGGGAAATGAGGTAGGAAGGCTCAGAGAGGAAAGAAGCTTGTTTCCTAAGCAAGAACTTGTTCCAGGAAGTTTGGATAGGAAGTGTAAAGAACAAAGCCCATCACTTATCAGAGTGCTCTCCTTTACTGAATGTGTTATTTTTTTAAAAAACCATGGTTTGCATGATTTCTTCACTAACTCCATAAAGGACTTGCATGTGTGTGCTGGACTGGGAGGCACATACTGCATCTGTTACTGTTTGAATGGGTCAGGGGGACTGGTACCCAGGAAAGCATCATATGTGGATAAGCCTGCCTCTGGGGAGAGCTGGCTGGCTCTGCTGCCTGCCGGCCTAATTTCCCTCCATTATGAGCTTTTGAGCTATTCATCTGGCAGCATCATTACAAGGGAGTCTGCCCACCCTAACAGAACAATTCAGCAGTGTGCACACCCACTCACATGTGCTCACTCCCAGAGCATGGGCCCAGTGTCATGGGACAGGCTGTAATTAACTAGTTGAGGGAGTCCATCTTTTTTTGTTGCTGTAATCTGCTGTCACTGTCAGCTGTGCTTTGCTCTCTCCCCACCTTCTTAGGTTTTAGTGGTTTTATTTTTCCTTTTTAAATGTTAAGTGCCCAAATGCAGTGCTGAGGGGAAGTGAGGGATGAAGTTCAAACTGGCTTCAAAGTTTCCTTCATGCCCTCTTCCATTCTGTGGATTGCCCCTAGTGAATTCTTAAAGACAAGTCTGCTGCTTAATTACATCGCTCTTTCATACTATTGTACTCTGAAGTTACTTTTAAAAGTGTCCTTCTGGCTTCATAAGAATCCAGCATTGGCCCTTGATACTTTATACAATTAGAGCTACTTAATTCTAGTATTTTGATATGGAAAGCAGATGGCTCAGAGTGTTTTTTTTAAATGTAGTTCTTTGAAGCATTGCTTTGAGATCAAGGGAGATTAATATTAACCTTTAAGAGAATTATATTGATTTGGTAGTAGGTTAAAGAAATATATAAAAAACAAAAACTCCCAAGTCTGAATAGGAAAAGTCGTAGCAGGCATAGATCATGGCCAGTGAGCAGAGTTGTATGATAAGCAGATGCTTATTGTCTAAGAAACCTGTTGAGAGCCTCCCTCCAAAGCCATGCGTTTGTCCTTATTGTGGTTCACATCTGTAGTTCAAGAACAGCAAGTCACCAGTTCCCTGGCTTTGATGTTATGTTTTAAACTTGCTGCCTATCATTTTTCTTGGGAAGTAGCCAATAGATTACTGTAGGACTGATGACATCTGTTAAGAAAAAACTCAGCTCTTGACCATGGTGTTTCATGCAAGTCTGTTCCAGCCTTTTCCCAATTGTGTGCTGCTGGATTACAGCCCTACGGCTTCAGCTGGGGCTTCTTGTTGGAAAAAATCTAGGATTAAAAGGGAAGGCTGAAACCTATTTCACCTGATTTTAGGAGAAAATTCAGATTTCATATAGCATTCCCCTGGAATGGGTTTCCTGTTGACCCAAGATGTGATTGTACTTGTGAATAACATGTTTTGGGGCTTGACAAGTTCAGTTAGTATCCTGAGTTGGCCGAAAGCTTTTTTAGCTTTACAGTGAATGCCCAAATAGCACAGTGATAAATGTCCCTGGTGTTGTGGCAAAATCTGGTCTAGTTTTTAGGTCTGCATCTGCACACTCCTCAGACCTTTTGCACTTATTGCATGCCCTCCAACAAGAAGTGCTACCCTATACCACCTGAAGATGACTTTGATTTTTCTGATATGAAAATATTTTAGTACCTTGTTGTATCTTGAAATTGATGCAAAGGTGAAACAATGATGTCAGTTCATGTTTTCTGTGTTGATTTTACTGTGACTAATTCAAGGTTTTTGTTATACATGCTGCAAATGTCACAGATTTTAGCTCCCCAAAGTTGAAGGTTTCAATTGTTAATTATATTTTACTGGGATAAATTCATTCATTTTCGTGCCTACTTTACAATGCAAGGAAGGAAAGTTTTCAGATGAGGAGTATTGGTAAATTGTTTCATTACATTATTGTGTCTAATAATGAATCTGGAATTCTGTTGGTGTTAATGTTAGCTAAAACAGGGATCAATATCAGTGGACAAGTTAAGAGCTCATATTTCCTCTCACAGAGATTCACACCAAGCCCATGCTGTGGGCCAGAAGGGCAAGTGTGTTTGGGAAGTGTTCTTGATTCTGGGCTACAAGCGAAGGACTTTGGACTGTGTCTGGCTGATGGGCCTGGTAGAAGAGGCATACAGCACTGAATTTCTGAGGATGGGAAGAGATGATATTGAAATTCCTGACATTTGGGGATTTTTATAGCTCCTCTTGGCTTCTTCAGAGAGAAAGAGGTCACATGTAAGATGTGATTCAGAGTGCTTAGTGCAGGCTTCTGCCATCTACTCTGTGGAGATTTCTCTTTGTTGGTGTCCATCATCTCCAAGTGGACACCACTGCTACTGCACCTCTGTGCTTTGTTGGTCCTAACAATTATACTTTCTTCTTCTCCTGGCCTTTTACAGTGACTTTTGTATGACTTTCAAGCACCCGGTTGGGTTGGGCTACGATTTGCATTTCAAGAATGATGGGCTCAGTGGCCATAAATACAGGCACAAATACAACCTACCCTCTTAGCACAGAAATACTAATCACTGAAATTATATCTTGTAACATAGAGCAGAAATACATCCTACAATATCAAATCTGCTATGTTTATTTATAGCCAAAACTAAACTAAAAACCATCGAAAGCTATGTTGTGCTTCTGATTATTTTTCTAAATCCACAGTAATCTTCAAGAATGTTAAGGTATTTGCATTCCTTAGACTTTACAATTGTAAATCCCTTTATCTGGCTTGGAGTTCTCTGTGGGTGAACATACTCTTGGAATGATCTGGGTTTTAGATTTCTCAGCAAATGCATAAGAAAAAAAGTACAAAGGGGAGATAAAGAAACAAATTCAAACTCAGCATGCTGCTTGTTGAAAAATTTCATTCTAATAAATTCATTTGACCTCTCAGTCTCCATGAAATTAAAGAAGTCACAGCTTTGTTTGGTCAATAAACTCACTTCAGATAGGGATGACTGTGTGCATAGCTATGCATGCACTAAAATCTCTGCTGTATTAAGGGCTGCATGAGGTAGGAGATGTAAAGGAGGAATCAAGCTGAGGAGAAGGTTGGGAAATTGTGTGGGAGGTGTCACTCATGGCTCAAGTTGATAGGACTTTGATTTTTGTACGTTTTGTATTTTGTTTCATGAGTAATGTGCCACATAATGGATAGGTCATCTAGTGTTTGATGGAGAGCATGTTTTTAATAGTGTCTAAAGGATATTTGTAAAAAATACAGCTGTACAGTAAGCTGGGTGTGGAAATTGTTTGTAATTGGGACAAACAAGGTTATGTCAGAGTCATGAGAGAGAGAGACTTCAGCTAGCCCACAGACTACCACAGAGCTGGCAGTGACTGTCACCTCTGAGAACTGTATTGTTTCCTGACTATACCTTAAATTGTTAAACTGGTGTAGCTTTAGCTATAGAGTTCAGAATTTGCATCCTTGATTCTTAACAGAAAATAAATAGATTAGTACAAGGTTAGATGTACTTTTAGTCCTTACCAGATCTGGTGTACTGGTGTGTGTGAGGAGTGTTGATCTGCTCCTGAAAATATGTGCTAGACCATCACATTCATGAATGAGCATGGCTTTGTGTATAAGTGCATTTAGCCCAGGTGTTTCCTCTGAGGCAGATGTCATTGAACCATGGCTTCCCTTTCACTGACCACTGAAGCTTTGAATTTCAGATCTCCAGTAGAAGAAAGTTATTTCTGCATCTCTCCAGAAAAGTCGATGCTCCCTTTTGGAGCACCACTGAAGCTCTTGGGGTCTTCCAGTCCATGTAGCCATATGGATGTGCAGTGCCTCTGGAGTTGCTTCCCAGGGAATATGATGAAAGCCTGAGCTACCATTCTGCAAATGACAGCCCACTTCTTCTGCCTGTGATGGAAGCTTTCCTGCTCAGTATGGAAAGCAGCACCTGAATACCTGTGTGTCCTTTGTGCTACACCCGTACTTGATCTAGCTCAAGTATGTGAGCTCCAGTCTGAGAGGCACTGGACAGCAAACTGTGTGTGCATGTATATAGCTGCCTCTTCTCTGTTTTGTTCCTTTTTTCTTACTTCCTCTTTCTTTTTTTCTCTCTTTCAAAGGTCTCTCACACCTGATGATGGGTGAACAAGGTATGTCCTTCTACCTTCTCTTTGTTTCGGTCACTCACTGTGAAAAGAGTTTTGTGCTTCTTCCCTGAGCTCAGCTTTGCATGATAAAAGGAGCCGGACTTGCTGGGTGCCAGTCAAACCATTTGCATTTTTGCCTGGGAACGTAGCTTCTTGTCAGCCTGAGACCCATGAGTGAGAGTCTAGGGAGCGTGAAATGATTCTGCTGACAATAAGGAAAGCTGTTTTCTCCCTCCATGCAGACCACCTGAGTTCCCATTTATTTTTTGTGCCAGCTGTAATGACTCCCACTCCTTGGAAAATGTAAACCTCAACGTTGGTCTTTAAAGAGTGCAATTATTACAAAAAAAAAAAAAAAAAGTTAATAGCCTTCATGGCATGATCCTACTTCATTATGAATCCTGAGGAAAATTGTGTATAATGGCCTGTAAATCCTGTATCTGCAATTTAAAATAAAGAGAACACAGCACAGAGAAAAAAACGGTTTAGAAAAAGAACAGGGGTAACCCCAGGCTGGGCTACAAATGGGATCTATGCCTGTATCAGAGTTCATGTTGTAATATTTCAGACTAGACCATGTTAGGAATCTGTTGTGGCATGATGACATCATTGACCCCTTTTTGCATTAGTGGGTTGTGGAGCAAGAAGCTGATGAGCAGAAGTGAGGCAAAAAGGAGGTAATTCTATTTTCTTCAACAGTGTCAGCATCTTGCTTACACAGGTACGCAGGGAGGAGTTAGAAGTATTGGTGATGCATTCTGATCTTGTGAATGCACCTGTCAGATTGTTGAAATCTTAGTTGAGGTGTGTGAGGAGAGAGGCATGAGAACAGGACAGGGAGACTTGTTTTCCAAACACTCTGTGATAGAAAGACCAGACTCGCAATTTGTCTGTGGAGAAAAAATGGGAATACTGCTTCTGAAGCCCACTGTGGCTTTCCTAGACTAGATGTACAGAATTGAATTTTTGCCACATCCAAAAAACACAGTGACTGTAAAGGCTCAACAGTAAGTAGTTACTTGAATTAAAGGGGCATGATATCTCAATGAGACATAAGAGATAATGAGGACATAAGCAGTTGTTGTTCTGTAGTTCAAGGCAGATGTCTCCTATGAGGTCTTTAAAGCTTAAGAAACAGAAATGAAGCTGGAACTCAATGTTCAGTGAGTTAGCATTCCCATGTGGTAGGAAATTAGTCTCTTAGGGACCGGGCGTCAAGACCATGGTACTTGCTGTGTGAAACATCTGGCTAAGCTCTGGGAAGCAATGAGCTACTTCTGTGACCTCTTACTGTTCAACTGTAGTCATGGCTCTTTGATAGTCAAGAAACCACCCTTATTTGTCTACAGTGTGTCAGGGAACAGTGGATTCTCTTTTCTTGCCAACCAGCTCATAAATATTCCCTTTTAATATTTAATCTCTACAAAAAAAAAGGTATAAAATATGTAAATGTATATATGTGTAAATATGCAATGTCAACGTTATATACAAACACATTAGTTTTGGTAGATGAAATGTGTCTAGTGAATATATTATCACAATATTTATTTTTGTCTGTCCTATTCTGTCGTTTCCCTTGCTGTTTTGAATTTGATGTGGAATGGGGCATATCAGTGCTGTGCTATTGCATGAGAGCTTTGCATTTCTCAGTAGAAAATCAAGTTAAAGCCAAAGGGCTTAACCAGGCAGTTGCTGGTTTTGCAGTTACTTGTTTAAGCCTTGCTTTGTGCTTTAGTTGTGACTTTTCTTGTTTTTCCCTTAAGATCCTGTTTTGTTGGGTTTGGTTGCTGTATAAATATATTCATTTTCTTGTTTTCATATGTATGGCCAGAGTTATAGTGATAATTTTTTTTTTATGCTTCTTTCTCCTCTTGCCTACTCCATGATGGACACCTCACACCTCTCTTCCTCCTCTTAACTGGATACGCACCTTCCTGTCTGTAGGTAGAAGTAAAGGTAGAGATTGCATTCTTTATAAGACTTCATTATTTGTAAAGTGTTTGTCAATGGACAAATTGTACTTGTGTGAATGTGGATCATCTTGAAATGTAATGCTGTTGCTTTAAAAAAACATTTGGCTTTGTATTATGGAAGAAATTATTAAGATAAATGCTTTGAGGCCTTTCTCAGAGATATTATTTCCTGCCTGTGCAGGCTGTGTGCTGCCAGGCCATCTGCAACTGATAATGCTGGGGCAAAGTGAGAGAGTCACTTGAGTCAGATGGACCCAGGGCTTATGAGCTGGTACTGGTGACTCTGCTGGGAATTTTGACCCTGGTGTGGGGGAAGCAGGACCTACTTTTGTCAAGTGCTCTTCAGCCATGGAGGTCTTTGGTAGTATCATTTCTCCATCTCTGCTTTATTTTCCTCTCCCTGTGAGCAAAAAGATGTGTGGTTTTTTTTTGTTTGTTTTTTGAAGGAGGAATTGAGTTGCAAAGAGCTGCAGAATAGACAGGAATGATCAGCATTGCTAAACAGAGAGCCCGTTTGCTCTGCAGCTCAGTACAGCACAGTGCATGAAGTGGAAAGGCTGCTGTGGGGCTTCAGACTTGCTTTTCAGCATTTCATACCTATCTCAAGCAAGCAGAGGGCATTCATTCATCCTTAATCAAAGCTGTCAAAAATGCAAAATGCTGCAAACCTGCTGTGGGTCTCCAGTTGGAGTGGAGGGTGGGAAGGGAGAAGATTAATTGATGAATTACGAGCACTGCTGCTAGGATAAAATCCATTTCTTCATCCTACTTTCCGATGAGATCAAGAGATTAAAAGGTTTTATTATGCTGAGGCTTACTCATCTTCAACTAATATACTGCTGAAGAGTCCGATCTATCTATCAGCAAGATTGGATCACGTTGGAGGATGTTCGTTGTGTCCGTGGCAGCAGGACATTGGAGGATAAAGTGACTAATTGTACTATGATATATTTTGGAGGATATGACAACTCAGAGGATTTTTTTCATCTTAAATTCTTTTGAGGCACTAGGATTCTCTTCCCACTTATTGCTACTCCCTCCATACCTGAATTCTGGGGAGCACCATGGCTTATTTAACACTTCATGTTATTCCTCTTTATGAGGATTTGCCCTCTTGTAACAAGTTTGTGTTGCTAGATTCTTTGTGATGGAGTACCTCACATAATATTATTTGTTTTGTTTGAGGTTGAAAAAAATATTCTAATTTATTTTGTATCTTTTCTAACAAACATTGAAATGGGGTAAAAAAGTTATGAAATTAGTAGAATATTTTTTCCGAGGATAATACATGAGCTGTACTCAGAGCCATCTTAGCGAGAGGTGAGCGTCAAAACTTGATAATCACATATACACATGATTTAAAAAAAAAAAAAGTGAGAACCTAAAGCTGTAAGCACACCATACAAAATGTTACTGTTTCATGTATCAATGTATCAGCACAGCTGCCAATAATTGAGTTAGCTGATGTGTGGCTTAGTGTGATTTAAGGGGAGTGTAGGTTAGGGCAAGTTGTACAGTGTGATGTCAGCTTGTTTCTTTCTTTTCTCAGGTGGCATTTATGTTGCAGGACAGTGTGTAGGACTAAATGAAAAGCCTTCTCTGAAGGAAAACTGCCACATGAGATTATATGGATGAGGATTATAATTTATAGTCTGCAATTAATTTGTATGTGCTAAAACAATTTATTGAGTCTCTAAGTGAAAATATTGTTTCTGTTCCCAGCTATGTGTAAATCTTAGCTCTACTCACAGCAAGTGACTTCATCAGAGAACCGTCACTCTCTGACACATGATGTTACCTTCAGAGAACTCAAGCTGTATAATTCTGAACCCACACGTGGCCTTCAGCTCACAGAAAGCAGTAGCACATGCTACCAGATTATAGCTGGAAGGTTCATATTTTTTGGCATTCTCATAGTTGTTAGCAAAAACTGGCAGCTGCCATGTCTCATGCCATGTGAGTGGACAAAAGGTATTATGTATTTGATTTCATAATGCCTCTTCACAAGGTGTAGCAGCCTGTGACTCTGCATTCATCATTTGCAATGAATCTTTCATTATTTGCTTCCACTTAGTAAATAGCCTTCTTTTGCATCCTTTACTTTTAAAAAATTCTTTAAGTTCTTGAAAAGCTGAAGAAGATGAAGTTGTAGGTATTTTAGGGTAATGGCTGGTATCATTGAATAAAGAAAAGTATCTATGCATCATTTATATTGAGTTTACATTAAAATTTATGTGCACTGTTCATGTTTTTATTAAGTGTATGAAACTGGTTACAGAGATGAAGTAAATGATGGTCAGTAAGGATTTAGTTTGGTGTGAACTGCTGAATGCAGCTGTTCTCCTGAAGATAACTAAGGAACAATTATTTTGAGTTTATCTCTAACAAGAAAACATTACTGAAGGAGATGGTAAATATCCAGCTGTAATTTGCTATTGAAGTAGAGGTAACAGTCACATTCTTCCATATCGTTTGCTCTCTTGACAGCCTTTGTTAAAGAAATTATAACCTGTGCTTTTGCTACCCTTTCTTTTTCAAATATATGTAGTGGTTTTTATTTTTTCACCACTCTTGGTTTGAATCTTGCTTCTACTGAGGTTGGTGCCTCCAAAGGAAATCGGCAATATTCTTGATGGGACACTGCACTTCCATGGTGTTGCTCTCTCGGGAGTGAGTTTCAGCTAATTGATGAAGTCCTGTGTCTTCTTGAAGGAAACTGTGAAATAGGACTGCATTTAGAGAGCCAAGATTTCCCCAAACGCTTAAAGTGCCCTTTGTGTCCTCTGAAACAAAGAATGACAGTGAGGTGCGCTGGTTGCTGGATACCTGCTCAGCCTGCAGGTTCTGCCCTAAAGCTCTGGGTCCTTCTTCTAACATCACTGTGTTCAGAATGACAAACTATGAGCCCACATGCTGATTTTTCAACACAAAGCAGGTTTTTCTCTGTACTTTTTCTTCCTTGTCAGAGATAAACAATGAAGTACTTGCATATTTCCTGGATGGGGTATTTTGGTTGCATGTTGTGTAGAC